AATGGCAAAATGATATGTTTAACCAAGAAGCACCTAATAATAAGAAGAAGTAGCGATTTTTTTTTATTTTTAAAGGCAGCAAAGTTCTCCAAGTATCACTAATATCCGAGTTTCTATTCAGTGATTCGCAAAATTGATCTATATTTAAACTTTTTAATGTTCTTGAGTTTCTTATTGGTCTCCTTAGAGGCCCTGTTTATAATGCTCCAAGTTCTCCAAAGTAGGAGCATCTTTGAATAAAGAAAAGTCTTTTTTTAGCTTTAGGATGCTCTACATTCTTCATCACCAAGGAGAAGGAGGTCTGCGCAAAGATGGTTTGTCCCTCATGATGGAGACCTGATTAATCAGCGAGGAGTGTATTTTTCTAGAATGTTGTTGTAAATAAAAACAGGTTTGCCGAAAGTATAGATGCACTATCCTTTTTGTCATGAAGAAGTGACAGTTGTGATCTCAAAACTATTGGAAAAATGATCCCAATATTTTGGAACATTATAGTGGGGTCTGCAACCAAATTGTCAGGAGTGAGATCAAGAAACTCAATATATGGGTAATATCGCTTCCGTAAAAGATAAGGAGCGTATGCCATTTTTTCACAGGTTGATAAGGATTTAGGTAAGCTGATATCAATGCACTGTAATGGAGTAGGTTTTGGAAGACCATGTAGGGTTACCGTTATTTAAAATTACTAAATTAGAATTGGAGATGCATCAGCAAATTTTTTGCTGGCATTAACCGGATTAAAAACGTTATATCACACCAGAGAGGGTGTCTATAGTTAAAATCTCCGGTAATGATCAAGTTATAATTACTCTTAACTTTGCAAAAAAAGTTATCCCAGAAGAGCGGATCGTTATCAACTAAGTATTGTTAGGTGGATTATATCTGAGATCAAACTGGTGGGAATTTGCTTATATTAAAATTCAAATCGCAGCAGAAATTCACGTTGTACTGGAAAGAAGCTCTTCACAACGCGCAGTGTGTGAGACCACAAATTGATGTCCTATTCTAACTGCTATGCTGCACCTCCCGGATCTTCTCTGTTGCTGGTAATAAGAATGTAATTGTTAAGATTCATCCTATTAGTGTCTTTAGCCAGTCTCGAAAAGAAAATAAAAGCTGGTAACCCTGGGTATTATGTCAAGAAGCAATAAGGTCGTTGAACCTAGCTTTCAAAGATCTACAATTCATTGCACTATGGAAAGAAAACTGTCCCGATTATTCTGAACCATTTTCTTTTTTTTATAACTATTTCAACAATTTCAACAGTAGACCGTGTTATAATTTTTGTTTGTTATTTTGGAATTGCAATACAAATTAATTCGCTTCTTGATTTGTTCTAAGATATTCTTCCTGATGTTTGACTATTAGAGACGACAATAAAGAACATAAACCCGATATCACGTTATGGGGACCAGAAATAATTAATTGCGGCGCCGTATCTTCAGAGGTAGGGTCTATTTTTTCACCATCAACCTGGTGATTTCATCACCAATCTGTGATAAAGTTGTTAAATTCCGACAGCAAAATCTGCTCTGTATTAGGATCCTGGACAACAGAAGGAACTATCTCCATATTTGGAGAGGAGGGGTAATCCCCTCCACCTCCCCCACTCTCCCAATCCACCCTGAGGTGAGGAGAGGCAAGGCAAACTTGTTGTAAGGAAAAGAGTATTACGATCTCCCCGCCCAGCCAGGGGTAAAGTTGGAGAGGGGCTCCCAGATTTGGAGGGATTGGATTGTCATTTACGGGAATATCCTCAGATGGGGAAGGTGTCATCTGCTCCGAAGGAAGGTTGAAGCTTATCGATCTTTTCCTCTTGCGTGGTAGTGAGGTTCTGCGAGATTTATTAGACTTATGTGGATTTATCTTGTTTTAGGTAAGTTGTCTTCCGGATGGCTTTTCAGGATGTTCTCTCCGCTAGTCGACAGTCCGGGGTCCAAGTCCGAAAAGTAGTCGCTCTCCTTAAACCAAGGGATAAAGTCCGCAAACGTAGCAGATTCTTCAGCACTGTTAATTTCGAACCATTTGTCTGGTAGACGATGCCCAGTGGATTTATAGAACGCCATGGCATCAGATGGATTCAGACCCAACTTCGCCATGACAATCTTCGCTCTTCGATTTCAATGAAAGTCGGGCATATGTCCGAGCTGGTTCTATGATTAGGGAAGGGAAGTTTCCTCCGCAGGCAGTTTATACAAGCCAGATGAGATGATGAGCAACTTTTCGAATGATGTCCCTTGCTCGCACAGGTTGCACACATCATGGCTCTCGATCCACCTCTGCATTGAGCCTCAATATGACCGAAACGTTGGCAATTGTTGCATCTCTTTACTTTCTGTATATATGGTGCAAATCTGATCTTTTTCCCAAAATAGATAGCTGCTTTGGGAGCGGATAGGCCTGCAAATGTTATCATTATCATATTGGATGGAATATAAACGAACTTGGATTTATCGGCAGGATCAACTATCCTCTTGTGAATATGCTTGACTTCGAGTATTTCCGGTAGCTGGGTTTATGTAATGAGGAGGTGCCTGTAAAAATTGTTTAATTTCCTCCGTTTTCAGAATAATCAATATCTCTGGTAACAACCCTGGAAGTGATACGATAATCCGGTACGCAAGCTATCCAAATGGTATCCCTAATACCTTCTCCTCCATGACGGACGTTTTCCACCATTTTATTGGCCGCTACCCCGTCTGGGAAGGAGACTGAGAATTTATATGTTCCAATAGATTTCAGATTGATCGCGGATCTCCACAATGTCGGAAAAAGTCTAGCCATTATTTTGCCAATTTTTATTTCGCTCCTGATAATGTTTTTATCGATACGGTTGTCTACTACTTTGGATATATATATTTCGAAAGGACCTTTGGACGGAGGTCCGTATCTATTCTGCATGAGTCTTCTATGTGTTTCGGTCAATGAGTTACTAGACTTTTCCTTCACTCCCAACGAGGGATCAGAGGTCCCATTCGAATATGAAAAATGTAGATGTAGAAGAATTATTGCGTTGATCTCTCACCGATTCCGCGTATAAAGAATACTGCGATCTGTCATCAAGGGTATTTAGAGGAGATTACGTGTCCTTATCAGAATCGAGGTTTCCTTTGTCTATATCCATGGTATAAAATTCCGAAGTGAGCCTTGCAGTGCGTGACGAAAAACCTTTCGACTCGAATGAATGTAATCAACAGTGGGATTAGCGATAAAACTTTGTGAGAATGCCAGGTCTAAAATATAAAATGAGAGGAATAGGTTATATTGACAAGGAGTAACTGATCGTTCTCGTTCCGTGTCCAGAACCGAATTCACTCCGTTTAAAGCAAGTTGTGGAATTTGGCCTAAGGCTAATATTACATTTGTCGTACGACAATCTTTTCGAATACGTTGATTGGTTAATAAATAGAATATTTCTAGGATTGCTTCGCGTACGCCAATCAATGTATCCGAAAAGCTTATCGTACGACATATGTAATATTAGGCTAATATTGTTTTCCATACGGACTAAGGTTATATTCACAATTCACTGTTACTCCTAACAATCTATAATATAAGTGACGTGAATTATAGGTTTTCAGTACTGAAGGTTTCAGAACACGGCTTACAACGTTACCACCAGTTACCACATGTAATATTCGTTCAAAAGAAACGTATACATATTCTAATACGAATATTCGCAAATTATTCAGAGAATACATATTAGCGATTACTTGAGAAACGTATACGCTTTCGACCACTCGTAAATTACGTATACGCAACGTTGCGAGTGAGTTACAGAATCGAGCCCCTGCTTCACCCTGCTTGTGGCGGCTGAGCGAAGACGAGCTCGCGGGCGTCGCGGTAGATAGCGGGAGAGGGTCGACCGCTACATTTTCACCATGTCAGAAAAAGGGAATATTTTATATGAAGATGATGTGACATCTGAATGGAAAGATTTATCATTAGGACAATTATTGTTAAAACAACTAACACTGCATGGTACTTGTGTAGCACAAGTAAGTATATGCTTATTAATATAATTACATGATTTCTCCTGTTTATTGTTTTATTAAAATAATATTTTTATAATTTTATCTTGTATATACGTAAATTCAAAATATTTTGTATCGTAAATATAAAACCTATGTATTGTTTCATCCCAGCAAACAATATTACATGTAACATGAATGTTGTAATTTCCTACTCAACAATATAACAGTTATATTGTTGAGTAGGAAATTACAACTAACATGCATATTAAATGTAATATTGTCTTTGCTGGGTTTTTATATTGCAATTTTTTCAATACAAGACATCTATTTAATTAAATCTTCAAAAAATCTTTTAGTTTATCCATACTAACTGACATTTATAATTATTTTTATGTATTGTAATTTGTAGTATTTTATACAACAATTACACAATACTTCATTTTTGTAATATTTTATACAATTCAAGTTTATATGTTGCTTTATGTTTATACATATATATATATATATATATGATATATATGTGCATACATATGTACATATAATAACAATAAATATTTTTAACAGATAAACGCCCATACAGGCAAGGAACAAACTTTCGAACATATCTTAAACACTAGTCGTAAGTTGGCAATTTTCTTTCAGAAAAAAGGAGTGAAAGTAAATGATACAATTGCCATATGCAGTGAAAATAACTTGGAATTTCATATTGTTATATGTGCTATATTTTATGTGGGTGCTACAGTCTGTCCATTAAATCCACTATATTCAGAAAGAGAATTCAAACATGCACTTGCCATTTCTAAGCCAAAATATTTATTTATTTCTGCAATAGCATTTAATAATATAAAAATGATAATCAAGGATTTATACTGGTCACCAAAAAATATTAATATTAACTGAACATCACAATATCAGTACAACATGGATGAATTTAAGCAAAGCAATATCAAATATATCAAACAGTGATATGAATATGTTCCGAGCTATTTCTGTTGATATAAATAACCATGTAGCAGCAATTTTATGCTCGAGTGGAACTACAGGACTACCTAAAGGTGTCATGTTGACAGACAAAAATTTCATTACAGTCATAAAACATGTAATGGATATATATATACAGATTAATGAAGGAAAACTTACAGGTTTAGCATTGCTACCATTTTTTCATGTATATTCATTTACTATATTGCTGGTTAGACTCATAACTGGAAACACGTCTATAATCTTTTCACATTTTGATGAGGAATTGTTCCTACAATGTATTGAGAAATACAGAATTGAGAATTTAATATTGGTGCCACCACTTATGGTGTTCTTGGCTAAACATCCACTTGTAGATAAATATGATTTATCATCTGTTAAGGTAATAGCATGCGGAGCAGCACCTTTGTCAGAAGAGATTTATGAGGCTGTTACCAAGCGATTGAATGTTCCTGTAATTAAGCAGGGTTATGGATTAACAGAAACTACTCTAAGTGTGCTATGGTCAACAGGTGATAAGGCAAAACCAGGCAGTTTTATGTTAGCTCCAGGCATGTCTGCAAAAATCATACCACTGGGAGAATTTGAAACAGATAAAACTTTAGGGCCAAATTGCAGAGGAGAATTATGTTTCAAGGGAGATTTAATAATGAAAGGTTATTGTAACGATGAAGAATCTACTAGAGCAACAATTGATAAAGATGGTTGGTTACATACAGGAGATGTAGGATACTATGACAAAGAAAGATACTTTTACATTGTTGATCGTGTAAAGGAACTTATTAAATATAAGGGTTATCAAGTTCCCCCAGCTGAGCTTGAAGCGATTTTATTAACATATCCTGGTGTGAGAGACGCAGCTGTAATTGGCATTCCAGAAGAAATAGCTGGAGAATTGCCAATGGCTTTTATTGTAAAACAAGATAATTCCAACGTACGTGAAGAGGATATAATTCAGTATGTTAACGAGCGTGTGTCAAATCCTAAGCGACTCAGAGGTGGTATAAGATTCATAAATAGCATACCAAAGACTGCGTCTGGTAAAATTCTGCGTCGACTACTGCGCGATTCTTTACAATCAAAATTATAAGCATGTCAAATATCTACCTTTTATAATGTGTATTATTTGCTATATTTTTTTTAGTGATATTTTGCATAAGCAAAATTCATGATTATTATGATTAAATACAATTAATATAATAATTAATTAATACAAATAATATAACTTAATTCTTTAATAAAGATATTTATATTCATATTATATACAACAATGAATTCTACACAGGATGTCTGAAAAACATAATAACATGAAGTATTTAATTTGATTTACAGGTTCATATCATGCTTTGGATTTGTTTCCGATGTTTCATGAACATTCAATTTATTTTTTCAGAGGGAGGAACACCTAGAAACATTTCTTTCTGAAGAAATAAATTGAAATATTCATGAAATATTAAAAACAAATCAAAGATAGATGCTGTGTATACACACACATATATATATATAAGCTTGGAAATTAAATAAAATATTTCTTTGTACTGCTAAAGCTTAAAATATGACAGAATGATTACAGAATAATATATTAAAAGTAGAGTTTTTTCTAGATAAAAATTTATATTAAAACGAAAAGCATATTCTTTTTCTATTTTTAACATTAAATTTTTTGCAATTGATCCATGATTATAATGTCAAACTGTTCACAAGGTTCATCAAAAATTAAAGTTTTTTTTTTAATATATTTTTGACAGCTCAATAATTATAGAGAAATTCTATTATGCTCTTACAATTTTTGTCAAACATTCTATATATTTTCTATATATTTTCAATAACAAGGAAATAAGTACAAATTAACTTCTATAATATATTGGAAAACTAATTATGATTTTTTCTCTTATATTATATACATTTAAAATAGACTTACAAAAGTAGAGTTTCAACAAGTTGACTTGAGTGTAAATTTTGAGTTAATTGTGAGATACTATATTTACTAAGTCAAGAAAACATTTTTGTTTTCTTTTATATCTATTCAATTATATATATGTTGCCATTATCTATAAGGGAGGTAAAAAGGAAAAGACCGAAAATTTTGTAAAAATTAGGATATATAATTGGTTGTAAAATTTGCTCCTTGTTCCTTATGTAATATACTAAACCTGTTCCTAATATACTATATGTGTATTTCTTATGTTGTCACTAATTTAATAATAAGTATAGTTAAAATAACGATTAGTTAGATCAAAAATAAGCAAAATTATAAAAGTTATAAAATTACATAAGTTGCATTTGTATACTAATTTTTTAACTCATATTTTCATTATATTAAAAATTAATATTACTTAGAAACAAATATTTATAAAATTCATATAATTGAATCCAGATTGTTTAATTGCTTTAAAAACATCAATCATTAAACAACAGAATGCTTTGAAATACTTTATCTTATGCACATACATGCACATATATATACACGGTATTTCAAAATAAACGAATATATATTTAACTATAGTGACTATATGAATATATATATATATATATACATAGATTGCTTGATCAATTTAGAAATTTTCTCTGCTTAGATATATCACTATAGTTTTCATATTTTCCTAAATTTAAATAATAAAATGATAAATTTAAATAATAAAATGTTTAATGTTGAGTTCTTGAAAAAGATCAAATATATATATGCTAAAGAATTCGTGATAGAAAATCTTCCAGTCCGTTGTGTATGTATGTATGCATGTGTATATGTGTGTATATATGATATCTACGCGCGTGCGCATGCAGGTAAGCATAAGTTTCTTTTATTTATTTTTTTTTAATAAAACCGTTTAACCAATCGGAAATTGTTCCCAAAAATTCGTGCTAGTCAATACACATAATGTATTATATTTGCGCGCATGTGTGTATTGGATATATAAACAGATATTTAACAAAATTACATACAATTCAGTAACAGTCTCCAATATTTCAATTTGCCTTTATATATCATTTACAGAAAAAAAAGAAATCAGGTCTGTAACATCTATTTTAATAATGGAAATTAGAGAAACAAATAAATTTTATATAAATATCACTGTTTTTTAAAGCTTTTCAGGATTGGATAAATGTTGTCAAAGGCTTCATAAATTTCCTTTCGAACCTTTGCACCTGGAAAAAATTAAAATTTTTTTTTAATTTCTCGATAAATATGAAGTTAAAAATATAGAATTAAAAATATGAGGATATAGATTTTGATAGCAATATACTATAACTTTATATACTATAATTTTATATTATAATTTTGATAACATGTTAACAGTTTGAAAACTTTGTAACAGAAAATTAAAAAGTATTTTTTAAAACATTATGTGAGCTTTGTTGAGGTTACTATGATGCTATAGAATCTGAAAACATGGATAGATACTCACCTGTCAATACTACTTTTCCTGAAACAAATATGAGTAATACAATCCGAGGTTTCACCATTCTATATATCAATCCAGGAAATAATTCTGGTTCATATGATGAGAATTGCCCATGAGAAAGCACTAAACCCTCTAATCTAATTGGAAACTTAACGTCACAGCTACCGACCATATTCTGGATCTTAAAGTCTAAAAACTTTGCCTATTTATCAAATAATAATAACCAAATTAACAATGGAATAAAATTTATATTATCAATTAACATAAAAATTTACAAATATATTATATCTTAATTACACAAATTGATTATACTCACAGGAAAACCTAGTTTCTGTATAATTCTTGCATACTTTCTAGCTGCAAGACGCGAATCTGCTTCACTTTTTGCACCAGTACAAACCATTTTACCACTACTAAATATTAGTGCAGTAGTTCTGGGTTCTCTTATTCGCATAATGACAGCTGCAAATCTTTTTGGGTTGTATTCAGCGTTCCTAGCATGAAGTGCTATTTTCTTCAAGTCAAGTTTACAATTTAAATTAACAGTAGATACGATATTCCTAAGATAAAACAGAAACATGATATGTAAAGAAATAAAGTAGGAAAAACACATGTTAATATGTTAATTTCTCTATAAAATTACTGTAATTGTGGCAATATTCCAGGGTCAGCTGAAGCTGGTGTCATTGGTGTCATTGGTCCTGGAGTTGAAGGACCTATTGATGCTGGTGCGATTTGACTATTTTGTGGTACTATTGGAGACATCATATTTTGCTAAAAAATAAAAAACAAAACTAATAGAGCAACATTAATATATAATATTATATTTTATATATGTATATATATATTACATCTTTTTTCTAAATTGAAAATAATTTAACATATTGATATTGAATTACTGGTGTTTGTGGTTGCATGAGACTCTGAGGTGTTGCAAATGTTGGAGTTGGTGCATAGGTATGCATAGTTTTCTGCGGTGTTATCATCAGCATACTGCTCTGCATGTTAGGACTCATCGAATGTAACTGTTGTAGTTGATATTGTTGCGATTGTTGTTGTTGCTGCAAAGCATTAGGAAGGATTTGTTGATCCTCTTCTGGCTGATGCAGAGGTGTACCAATACTGGGTATGCTAAAACCTGGACTAGGAAGCATCTGATCCATCTTGAATGTTTATTCAATCTATATACATGTAACTGCAATCTTAAAATTACAGTTGGATATCCATGAGGTAGTTGATGTTTAACTTATATAAGATGCATATAATATACTACCTAAAACAATGTTGATTATTAATTTCAAAGTTTAGTTATCTTCTCTCAATTTAACGAAACAATCACCAAAATTGATATATGATCGATGATTGATGAAAATGATATATAAAATATATAGAAATAAACCTCAAAAATTTTCCCATGCATCATATATATAAAAACTTTGTTTTATAAGTTTAATTCATACACACATACACAAGTTATTCGTTGTTTGTTTATAAATGTAAATATACTGTGTTTAGAATCTTTGACAATAGCTCATTTATAGCATAGTTTATATTCAATAAATGTTTATACTTTTATTAACAATTAACTTCAGGACATATAGTATTTATGAAGTCATTGCTATTGATTTTCTTCTCTTTTCAAGTAGTTCCTTCTTGACTTATTAAGGGTCTACTCCTGTAGAGACAAATCCAGCGTTGACTTTGGAGGCCTCGTGCGGCGAGATCGCGAACCAACACCGTGCGCGCGAGTGCAAGAGCAGGTAGGTTGGATCAAGTCAGTTTGACAAGGACGAACAATCGATTGCACCGTCCTTGTCTTACTCACTCGGGCTTTCGCCGGCCGATACACGGCGAGAAAATGCTTTTCAGGCTTTTGGGTGAGTGAGCTAAGTGTCGCAGCGACTCACGTGCAATACCATTTTACAAATTGACGTATTTTGTCTAGCTGAAGTTATATGTCACCGCCAAATTATTATAGCATGTTCCTTATATTATTCCCGAGATCCCCACAAAGCCAGATTTTGCAATCCGGCCGTCTAAAATTTATGAAAAATAAATGAAGCGTCTGCCGTACCAAGCATCGCAGCGAATCACTCCAAAAATTATTTTACAAGATGCAAAATTTCGCCTCGTTGACGATACGTATAATTGCTAAACTGTTACAGCATATTCCTTGAACTATCCCTGAAGACCTTACACAGCCAGATTTTACAATCCGGCCGTCCCAAATTTATAATATATAAATAAAGTATCAGCCGTACCAGGAGTTGCAGCGAGTCAGGTGGAATACCATTTTACAAGAAGCAATATTTTGCCTTGTTGATGTAATATATGAACTTGTTATAGCATCTTCCTACGACTATTCCCGAGATCTCTACAGAGTTAGATCTTACAAACAGGCCGTCAACAATTTATTATACATAATTAAATCATCAGCTGTACCAAATATCGCAGCGAATCAGGCGGAATACAATTTTACAAGAACAAATATATTGCCACGTTGACAATATATATAACTGCCAAATTATTATGGTATCTTCCTTGAACTATCCCTGAGAACTCTATAGAGCCAGATTTTGCAATCCGGCCGTCAAAAATTTATCATACATTAATAAAGCGTTCGCTGTACCAAGCGTCGCTGCGAGTCACTCGAAATATCATTTTACGAGATGCAATATTTCGTCTCTTTGACGATACGTATTATTACCAAATTGTTGCAGCATCTTCTTCGTACTATACCCGAGATCGGTGCAAAGCCGGATTTTGCAATCCGGTCGTCAAAAATGTATAATATATAAATAAAGCGCCCGTCGTACCAGGCGTTGGAGCGAATCAGTTGAAAAATCATTATAGAAGATGCAAAATTTCACCTCCTTGACGATATGTTTCACCACCAAATTGTTATAGCATCTTTTTTTAACTATCCCTGAGAAACCTACAGAGCCAGATTTTGCAGTGAGGCTGTGAGAAATGTATCATAAATAAATAAAGATTTATGAAGCGTCGGAGCGGATCACATATAGTACTCGTAGCATTGTACAAAATGAGATATATTCCTTCACTGATGTAATATATCATCATCATATTGTTATAGCATATATCTAAAATTATTCCCAAGATCCTCACAAAGTCAGATTTTGCAATCGGGCTGTCTAACTTTTATTATAAATAACTTTATTATAAATAAATAGAAATGCGTCAAGCGTCAAAGTGGATCATACGAATACAATTTCACAAGAAGAGATATTCCACCTTGTTGGCGTAATATATGTAATCGCCGAATTGATATGGAATATTCCTTGAACTATTATCGAGGTCCCTACAGAGCCAGATTTTGCATTCCGGCCGTCAAAAATTTATCATATATTAATAAAGCGTGTGTCGTACGAAACATCGCATCGAGTCCCGCGAAATACCATGTTACAAGAAAAAATATTTTGCCTCGTTGCTCTCATATATCAGTACCAAATTGTTATAACATATTCTTCGATCTATCCCCGAGATCTCTACAAAGCCAGATTTCGCAATCAGGCCGTCTAACATTTATCGTATATAAAAGACTGTACCAGGCATTGCAGTATGTCACGTACAATACAATTTTGGAACATTTATCGTATATAAAAGACTGTACCAGGCATTGCAGCATGTCACGTACAATACAATTTTAGAACATGAGAAATATTATCTCGTTAATGTAATATATCATCATCAAATTGTTCGGCTGTATTCCTTGTATTATTTCTAACGTCACTATAAAGCAGGGTTTTGATTATTAACACATATATATATTATAAGCGACTGTACGGGACAACAACAGGTAACTGTTAACTGTTAACTCCTACAAGTAACTGTAGGAACCATTAAAGTTATTGTAATATTAGAAGTTTATTAATGAATTTATTTTTATTTCTTATATTTCAGGACCGATTTTGTAAATATATATATAGGGTGCTAAATTCCAAACGTAACAGGTAAGAAATCTAGAAAACTATGAAAGATATTTAAAAAAGCTAAAACACGTATTCCATGATTTCGAAGGGGAAAGAGAATGGCATTATCAGTTTTTTATTTGGAAGGCATTTTCAAAGTTGGTTGAAGGTCAACTTAATTTTTTTAAAAAGAAAACCCAATCTTTTATTATATTTTCTTTTTCTACCAATTAATTTTAACAACTTTTGTCTGAAACATTTTTTTATTTGCCTAATATTTTTTAGAAATATTTAAGGGAAACTTGGTAACTTTTTCAACATTTAACTTAAGATATCTCGCTAACTATTCGTCGACAGAAAAAATAGTATTAGACTTTTTTACTTTATTTACTATCAAATATATATATATTTTTTACTATTCTGTGGAAATCTATTCTACTTTTTTGTATAATGTACAGAACAATGTCAATATTATTTTCTATACATAAACTAAGCTGTAATATGTCAAACAATAAATTTAGAATATATATATTTTTATACTTTAAATAATACATAAAGATTTTTAGAAAATAAAGCAGATGCTGAGGACAGGATGAAGACTGAACTATAAAATATTTCTTTATCTCCAGCTCTGAGATTTGATAATCACAGAATGGCTGTGGTCGGTCTAGGAATAGTATCGCTGCTTCGAGATATTGTAATCACAGCACAGACTTTATTATACGAACACAAATGTTATTGTATACAATACATGACCGGAGGTTGCCGGTAGATCGGACAACCGTTAAGCTAAGACTCCATGCATGCGGTGAGCTCCGGCAAACGGCTGCGGAAAGCGACTCCATATGCGCGGCAAAGATTGCGTCACATCATTATTCTTTCAGTCCTGTTTGGTCAATCAATGGTTATTCTATTCGTTGAGTTTTGGAACGCAGCCCATAGTATTGTGTATATAAAAGCACTTCGAGTGACAACAATGTAAAAATTATAACAAAACAAAATAGAATTAATAAATTATTAACAAAACAAAACAAAAATTATTAACAAAATAAAATATAATCGAAATAAATAATAAAATAAGAATGAATCGCGATGAAAAGCTTGTTTTGCTATTGTACCTGCGAAGAAAACGACGATTAAAAAGGCAAGAACAAGTCATTCGGAGAACAGCTCGATGGTGGGTTCGTCCTATGATAGAGCAACGTTATCTTCAAGGTGCTTACGATAATCTTGTGCTTGAACTTCGACATGGCACAGAACGTTTTTTCAATTTTCATCGCATGTTACGCAATGCCAAAGGCCAGTTTGCACCCGATGAAGGTGATGCTCTCTGTTTGGTGGGATTGCAAGGGCATAATCTATTTCGAGCTTCTCCCCGCTGGCGAAACGATTGATTCGGACAAGTACTGTCGCCAATTAACCAATCTGAATCGAGAAATAAAAGAGAAACGTCCGATTTTGTCAAATCGCAAGGGAGTCGATTATTATAAGAATAATCGATTATGGTTGGTCCATTTCTTACTGCTTACGCTTACAACCTTATTCTTGCAGCCATTGTAGATGGGCCTTAAGGCTCGTCTACAATAGCTATAAGAGTAAAGCCCTAAACACAATGCCAGGCAACAGGCAATAAGAATAAAAATAGACCAATCACAATAGATTATTCTTGTAATAGTCGATTGTGATTGGTCTATTTTTATTCTTATTGCCTGTTGCCTGGCATTGTATTTAGGGCTTTAGGGCTAGAGCACAGACTTCTGCATGACGCATAATACACAACGCATAAGAGAATCAATCAATCAGAGTTCTTCATTTATATCCTGAGGAGGGAAATGAAGAACTCTGATTGGTTGATTCTCTTATGCGTTGTGTATTATGCGTTATGCAAAAGTCTGTACTCTGGCCCTAAATCGTGTGATCGTGTGAATAAGTTGTATTGTTAATTCATGTACATTCTGTGTACGCGACTCAATTAACTACAATGCCGTTGATAATCCTAAATCGTGTGGTAAAAAGTTGTATCACTTACCATATACACCCTGTATAAAATAAAATGATAATGTTAGTATCTCGATATTTTATCACAATATTTGCGGGACTACATTGAAATATTTTTGTAAATCTGCATTTTCTTAATTGTTACGTTGATTCGGTACAATTTTACCGACAAGGTTATTATACAGTTAAGTTTCATTAAATTAAAAATAAAGTTAATGGTTTTTTTATATTATTTTATCAGTGGCATCGATATTATTAATTAAATGTTTTACATTTGAAAATTTTTACTTTCCTTAGTTCAATTCTATTTTAAAATTTAAAATTTTCGCTGACATAAATTGTAATTATAATTCTCACATTTTTGTAAAAAATATGGAATAGAACTAAAAATGTTTAAGTATTTATTTTAATATTTCAGATATTTTATCAGATTTTATTTTGAATCTTTGGTATTATGCTATGAACATATGTTGCCTATAATAACGCAGCTCATCTATACTATCCTTTATATCATCCACAGCTCTATGATTATATTCCTTTTTTGGAGCTGCTTTATACATATTTGGATGCCATCTTCTGAAACAACCAGTTAATATCTATTTCAATATTTT